CCTGGGGCACCTGCTACTCCCTGCACAGGGCCCAGGCAGGCCTCAGCATGGCTGGCTGCTTCCTTGCAGACCAGCAGGGCATCTCTCTGACTTCCTCCACTTGTGACTCTCCACCTCCAACCTCTAAACCCTCCTTCACTGACTGGCCTGGTTAGGTCAGCTGTGTGCAGGTTAATCTCAGGAGCCACAGCCCACCATTCCCACTGGGCCTCAACCGCATCCTAAGGGAGGTGTCATACTGGATGGGTCCACCAGGGGGCAGCAGTCCTGGAATCATTTTAAAATTCTCTGCCCTGAGCCCCTGTGCAGCCCAGCAGGGGGCGCCGTTCCCACTGCCGCCTTCCCGGGGCCTGCAGGCACCAGCTGCACAGCCCTGCAGGCACCAGCTGCACAGCCCTGCAGGTGTCTTTTGGGCTGGGTTGGAGTCCTTTTCTCAGAAGCCCATAGAATTCACTGGATCCTCCTATTGTCCTTGGGGGATCCAAGCCTTCTCCAGGGACGCAGAGCCTGTGTCACACAGCTTGCCTTTGTATTCAGTTGTCTCAGTGGACACGCTTCCAATGCTGGGGCTGGCAGTTTTGCGTGTGACATTGTTACTGGCCATGTTGTTTGCCCTCCCTTGAAAACACTAGTTTGTCACTATTCTGCTTATGCTGTAGTATTTACCAAGCGCTCGCTGCCAGACTCTGCCTGAAGCCATTTACGTACATTAGTGAGGTTTTTTAATTCCCTACACCAACAAGGAAAGTGAGACTCAGAGAGGTTAAGTCACTCTACCAAGGTCACACAGTGTGCAGGGGGGAGCCAGAATTTGAAACAGACAGTTTGAGTCCACAACCTGGGCAGTAGCCATGCTCCCTCCCAAAGCTACCCACTGAACCCCAACGGGGCCGTCCCAGAGCATGGGGACACTCGCTGCCAGCTCTTTTTATTGCACACTGGTCTTTTGTTTTCGTTTTTTGTGGTACTGGGGTGTGAGTGCAGGACTTTGCACTCTATTCCTTCAGCCATGACACCAGCCCTTTTCGCTCTGGTTACTTTTGAGATAGGGTCTCGCTTTTTGCCCTGGACCAAGATCTCCTATTTTCCTGCATAGCTGGGATAACAGCTACTGTGCCCAGCTACCGGCTGAGATGGGGCCTCTTGAACTGTTTGCCCCGATTGGCCTTGACCCATGATCCTCCTGACCTCTGCCTCCTGAGTAGCTGGGATTACAGCTGTGAGCCACCAGGCCTAGCTAGTATTTTTTTTTCTTTTTCTTTACTAAATGTCCACATTCCCATTTGCTTTTGAGTAGGTATGTTATTTCATTACCTTATATGGGACTCAAAGTCAATTTTAAAAGTCACTTTGTCATAGGAACTGCTGAAAACAAGGTTTCCCATATTCCCATTAAGGCAAAACACCCCAGTGGCCCCTTTCAGTCTTTTATCTGATAGGACTGCAGATTTCCTATAAAATGGTGTCTTATTTATGAAGCGCCTATTGTGTACCCAATGTGGCACCACCTACTTCAGAGACAGAAAAGGGCCTTGGGATCAAAATGAACGGAAGGCAAGTGCCTGAACAGGTTGTGAATATATTCAAATACCTCGACAGTCTAAAGAATGCTGCCTTCTGAGAACACTTGGTCTGTTTTGGGGATGTGTCGCCTGGCTCTGAAGTTACGTCTGCTTGGAGGTCAGCATGGGGCAATGGAGAGGGACCTGGAAGGCTGGGAGGGGCAGGCAGGGTTCGTCAGCCAGGGCGCTGGACACACAGTGGCGGCCAGCAGTCCTGGGTATGTTTAGGAAACCCCCAGAGTCACAGCCCAGACCCCTTTGGGGGCCTCATTGCAGCCTGGCTCCCAGACCGTCGCTCTCTTCTCACGAGAAGCACGAGCTCTGAAGGCACACATGAACTCCTAAGAGGCTATGGCTGGGGAGACACCCACCTTGAAACTCGGCACAGCATGGAGGAGACCCCACTGCTGAGCTCCCTGCACAGTGTCCTGGCCCTACTGGGTACCTGGGATTCAAACAGAAAGCAGTGAGAGACCAGCAAGGTTGGGCCAGAGGTCAGGTCTCTGGTTACACAGGCACTGGGGACCACAGAGGAAATATGAGCAAGGGAGCCCACTGGAATGCACCCAGGGAGGAGTGAAATACATGGGCTCAGGGGGCAGGCTGGCCTGGAACCTGGGAAGCAAGCCATAGGCCCCAAAGGGAGGTACCTTTAGTGTGGGTAGCCTGGAGTGAGACAATGAGACGGTCCCAGTTCAGATCCTGGCTTTTCCACTGCCTAGTTAGGATGTTGAGATGACCTCTGGTGCCTCAGTTTCTTTGTCTGTAAAATGAGATCAAAGCAGGGCCGGCCTTCCTCACAGGTGTGGGGTTCCATGGTGCCCTCTAGAAGAAGAGCAGAGAGCAGTACCCTGCACAGATGGGGGCTCAGGACCTGCCCTAGGACCCCGGCACCCCCAGAGCTAAGCAAGGCGGAAGGCCAGGCCTGGAGTCACCGGGGGATCTTTTAAAACTCTGAGCCCAGGCCACACTCCAGTCCGACTAAGTCACCGCTTCAGGGAGCAGGGGGGCAACAGTGTTTTCTAGAACTTTCCCAGGAGTTGCCTCTGAGTTTGGGAGCTGTGGCTGGTCTAGAACCTTGGGTATCTGAGGCCTGAGCTGGGGGGACTTTGCAAAGACACAGCTAAGCTTTCGTCGCCAGCGGAGAAGCCACCCGGGGCGGGGGTGGACGGGCGCGTAGCTTGGGGCCCAGTGGCAGCTCCTGGGGTCCTGGGGGGCCGGAGACCCCCCCCCCCGCGCCCCTGCAGGCCAAGGCTTTGCACCCGCCGACCTGGCGCAGCTTGGGCGCCAGAGGGCGCTCGCGGGGCCGCGCGGGGCTCCCTCCGCAGCTGGTTCAAACTGGTTTGGGCAGGGCGAGGCCCCGGGCTGCGCTGCAGGGCCCAGGCCAGGGGAGGACGGCTGGGGACCCGGACGCGAGCGGGGAGCTGGGCGCATGTGGCACATCTGGCCTCGTTGTTAACGTCATTTCTTTGGCCTTTCGGGGTCCCGGGCTGGAGCCCCTGGAGAGGGGCCATGCTCGGCCCTGGGTGTGGGGGGGGGCGTCAAAGTCAAGGTCAAGGTCAGCGCTGCGCAGACCTCCCCCCCCATTCAGGAAGTGGGTTTGCGCCGGGCACCTGCGGTCTTAGCCAAGGGTTTCTGAAGCATGAGGCACTTTTGGAAGAAAAATGCCTAAGCAAAGTGACTGTTGGCTCGCCAGCTTGGCCCAGGTCGTGAAGCCCTGCGTGGAACGTTAACTCCTTCCCCAGAACCCCCCTCCCGGGCTTTCCACTCATTCCAGGCTATGAAAAAAAAAAAAGTTTGGACATTCTAAAAGGTTAAACATTTTAAGCAACACTAACTGAAGAGACAAAGCCTTACAAATATCGTTAAGACCCCTCTCCTGTCCCTCCCAGATCTCCTCTGGCTCACCCCAAAGTAACCACCTTCCTGAATGTGGGGACACCCTTCCCAAGTAGGGCTTTGTGTTTGTCCCTGTGTCTGTGCCCTATGCTACCTATGATGTGCGTGGTTTTACACGTTTTGAAAGTGTATGTGAGTCAGGCACCAGTGGCACCCCCCCTTAATCCTAGCAACCTAGGAGACTGAGAGCAGGAGGACCACCACTTGAGGCCAGGCTGAGCAAATAGTTCTTGAGATCCCCCTATCTCCAAAATAAGCAGAGCAAAATGGACTGGAGGTGTGACTCAAGTGGTAGAGACCCTGCTTTGCCAGCACAAAGCCCTGAGTGCAAACCCCAGTCCCACCAAAATCAAAGAAAAAACTGTGTATCTATGACAGACACCCCACAGACCCTTCTCCCTCTCACTTCCCCCTGGCCTGGGGTTTCTGACATTTACTCGTGGGGTAGTTTTGCACTCAGGTCTATTCGCCAGTTCTGGGAACCTTCCATAAGGTCCCCAGCCGGTGTGAGGGTGACTTATGGCAAGGCCTGGACACTGAGTAAATCAAGACAATGATAAATGGCCGAGCGCGGCCCAGTGAACTCCTATAAAACTCCCTTTCCTAGCATCTGGGACTTGTCTTTGCCAACAATTTTCCAGAAAATGACTCTTGCCTGCAACATGAATGTTTGGTGAGGAGCGAGAGAAATCCCCCAGCAGAGACTTGGAGGTAGGAATCTACATGGGTCACCCTAAAGGCAAATCAGGTGCATGTTTAGATCTCACCTAAGGTCACCAGACAGAGAGCAAGCTCAAATTTAATGGGAGAAGAGAGTGGGGGATGCTCTATGTATTTATTTGCAACCCTAAACCCAGGTTATTGCAAAACTGAATTTTGAAAGAAAAGTCCTTACATGAAAAATCAAAACTCTAGGCTTCCCTATAACCCCGCCCCCAAGAATTTCCTCACTTGCATTGCTTTGGGGGAGTGTGACGCCCTCTCCAGGTCCAGGACATCTGAACGGTTTAGACAAGACTCCTCCGGGGGAAACTTGTTCTAAAAGCTACCCCTAAAAGAAAGAGGACTGCTACAGCAGCCTTCCCCTATCTCCTGAGCAAAGCAGCTGCTTAAGATGGGCCTGGAAGCAGAAACTTGGCCGACCCTCCCTCTCTCTTTCCCCTCCCTCCCTTCCTTCTTTCCCCCTCTCCTCCCTTTCTCCCACTCTCCGTCTTTCACAGGGTCTCCAAATGTCACCCAGGGTGGCCTTCCTGCCTCAGTCCCCTGAGTGCTGGGATTATAGGCTTGCCTCACTAAGCTGGCACTTTGACGACCTTAAATGAAAGCGGACAGCGGCCCTGGATCCTGGACGGACATCGGAATTGCCCCAGGGAGTTTTCTTTTATTTATTTATTTATTTTCTCTAAAGCAAGCTCGGTCGGTGGCAGAGCAAAGCGTGGCTAGCACGCCTTGGCCCAGGAGTCACCCGGCCGCACCCCCTCCATCCTGACTTCATGGGCGCCTGGCTGCGGACGTTTAAAAGCTTCCCGGGGGTTTCCGATGTGCAGCCGGGTGGGAACCACTGCCCTGCCGGAATTCCATCGGCAAGAGGTGGTCTCCACTCGGGTCCTCGCTCTCAAACTTGGCTGTCTGTTGGAAGCAGCTGGTGAGCTTCAACCTGTACTGACGCTCCGGTCTCACCCGGAGGCTGTGTGCGGGCCGGGCTCTGCAAGGTTGCAGGCCCAGGGGACTGCGATCTGCGGGACACTGCAGACCGCTGGACCACAGGTGTTGCAAGGGCGGGCGCAGTGCGCGAGCGCGCCACTGGGTGGCGCTGCGCGCTCGGCGGCCGCTGAGTCCGCGGCACACCTGCCCCGCCTCCGCCAGGCGGGCCGCGGGGCCTGCAGCGGCTGGGGGCGGGGCTCCGAGGCCCGGGCGCGGCCACGGCTCCGCAGCTGCGTCTGCCTGCCAGACCCTGTCGCCGTCCTGATGCTGCTCGTGGATGCCGACCGGCCGGAGCCGGTGCGCAGCGGGGCGCGCGAGCTCGCGCTCTTCCTGACCCCCGAGCCCGGGGCAGAGGTAGGGACGGCGGGCGTGGAGGGAGAGGGTGGGATCAGGTTGGGGATCGGGGCCCCGAACCCAGATGGCGTCCCGCGGCGTCCCCCGCAGCATCCTCTCGCACCGGGGCGCACAGGCCGAGGGCGCCTCCGACGCGGGGCGCGCTGGTACCCGGGGCCACCCAGGGATGCGCAGCACGTCGCGCCTGCTCCGGGTCCCCATGTGCCACGCGGGGCTCTGCGGCGACCGGCAGGTCCCATCCCCTCCTGTCCCCTGCTGACCCCTGCTGCCCCTTCCCCTTCTCTCCCCGCTGTGCCAGAGGCCGCGGGCCCCTAGGGTTGCCACGTCTCTATTTTAAAAGCATAATGCAAAATGGCTCTAAAGCTAGACCTTCCTTCCAGCTGCAGGCAGTAGGTGTGTTGGCCGCGCTGTGAAAAAGTTTACTTATCCAAGTTCACTGTTTAAACCCAAAGGCAGCTCGGGAGAGTTAAAGGATGAACCTCCCTCTCCCCCGCACTCCCCAGTTCTGGTTCCCGGGGAAAACCGGTGTTAACGGATTGTCCATCGTTGCGGGGTTCGCAGATGCACTCAACGTGTGCAGATACCGTTTCCACAGCTGTGTACATCACCAGATCCACAGCCTTCCTTCACCCTAACAGCACAGCGAACCGGCAGGGCCTGCTAATGGCAGGGTATGGGGCTGCTTTTGCCGCTGATGCAAATGTGGAATTAGATGGTGGTGGTGGAGGCACGACTTTGCAAATATACTGAAACCACCCGATCGTACACTTTAAGACAGGGTCAGTTTTATGGTATGTGAATTATGTCTCAACTTAAGAAGTAGCATGGAGCCTGGCGCTGGTCGCTCATGCCTGTAATCCTAGCTACTCAGGAGGCAGAGATCAGGAGGATTGCCAGGGCAAATAGTTCCTAAGACCGTATCTCAAAAAAACCTATCACAAAAAAAGGGCTGCTGGGGGGAGAAATGACCCAAGCATTGTATGCACATATGAATAATAAAACAATAAAAATTAAAAAAAAAAAAAAGGCTGGTGGAGTGACTCAAAGTGTAGGCACTGAGTTCAAAACCCACTACCTACTCCTACCCCCCCCAAAAAAAAGGTAGCCTGGGCATATTTCTGTGTCAGTGTGTATCCATAGGCCTGTCAAATAGAAGTTTGGTGCCATGGCGCATAGCTGTAATTCCAGCACTCTGGAGGAGGAAGCAGGAAGACCAGGAGTTGGAGTCCAGCCTGAGCTACATGGTAAAACCTGTCTCAGAAACCAAGAGTTGAGGGTGTAGCTCAGTGGTGGAGCATTTGCAAGGCCCAAGCACCACAAAGAACAAAAAGAAAATGGAGCTGGGGAGTGGCTCAGATGATAGAGCTTCTGCCTAGCAAGTGTGGGAGGCCCTGAGTTCAAGCTCCAGAACCACAAAAGAAAAGAAAAGAAAGAAGTATAATTGCAGCCACAAATGTGAACCACTTCTGCAATTTTAACCGTCCTAAGGGCTACGTGAAAAAGAAGCTGGTGAAATTAATTTCACCATATTTAAAATAACAGTTTCCAAAATATCATTCCAACATATAATCAGCATAAAAAGACAAATGAAACTTGACCAACTTTTTAAGATCAAACTTTCCCGAACTTTTAGCACATCTGCTTGGACCGTACATCTCAGTGCTCCCGAGTCCCCTGGGGCTGGTGGCTTCCATGCTAGAGCTTGGTCTACAGCGTTCTTTGGCTTCCTAGGATCCCACAACAAAATAACAATTGCTCTGATTTCCTGAGGTACATGCTGCTCTCAAAGATGATGTCCTGTATCACAGCAGGGACCCTGCAGCCAGGGTGCTGTTACGTCCATTTTAGAGCAGCTGGCCTTGTGCAGTGTCATTTACGAGCCGTTTGTAAAGGGTTGAGGCTGAGCCCTGGCATGGCTTGGTCTGGCCACCCAGGGACTCAGGGGTGGGTGCTCAGGTTACCCACTGTTTTTCTCTGCTTTTAGCACCCTGAGTGTATTTCTTGTCCTCTCCCTTGCAGTGAGTGTGCCTGTGCCCAGCGGTGAACCCCAGCATCATGTTCTCTCTGTCAGGAGACGCACACTCAGGGCTCCTCTACCTCCTGAACTTGTTGACTCATGCTCATTTGTGAGGGGTGTGACACAGGTCCCCAACTTCCTCTAGCACCGCACAGCAATAAGCCCTCTTGAAGCACTTGCTGAAGTTTATTTACCAAGGAGACAGCCACCCACCGGGCCAGAGCAGAGTCACTGTACTAAAGCTTAATTCATTAGCAGGTCCCTGGGAGCAAATGAGCCAGAAAAGGGAAGTCTGGCTCCCTCCCTGCCAGCCCTTCTCCCACGCTGGGCTTTTGCTTTGGGCTTTGATTTTTTTGAGATAGCGACTTGTTATGTAGCCTACAATGGGTTTGAACTGTTGCTCCTCTGCCTTAGCCTCCTGACTAGATTACAGGTGTGCACTGCCACGCTTGGCTATCTTCAGCTTTTAAATGAAGCAATAGGCATCTCAGTGTGGCTGAGGTCAACCATGGATGTCCTGGACTTAGGGCCTGCTTCATTCCACATCTGAAGTCCCTGCTCTTGCCAGGTCCTACCTGGAGCCAGAGACACCTGGTTACGGGGAGTCATGGTGGGGGATGGTCTGTTCAATGAAACTGAGACCTGAATGGTAAACATTGGAGATGTGCAGGAATGAGGAGGTCGGTGGGTCAGAAGAGTGGGTAGAAGGTTACTGTCTGCGTGTGATCTGGGAGGGCTTTCCTGAGCCAGCATGGTTAAGGGATGAGCCCTGAAGTGTGAACAGGAGTTGGCCAGCCTGAGGAGAAAAATCCCCCACCAGGGGTACAGCAAGGCCCTGCTGAGGGGCAGAGCAGGGCATTCTTGGGGAAGCAGAGCAGCTGATGGAGGGAGGAGCAGGACTGTGGATAGTGAGATGAGTGGAGGCTGGACCTGTGGTTGGCACTGCCTTCCCCGAGCAGGGGTGGGGGGAGTCACTGGAGGGCAGTGTCCCGAGGTTGATTGGCAAGCAAGTTGCTATTTTCAGTTTTTCTTTTATTATTATCATCATTATTATTATTATCGGTGGGACTAGGGTTTGAACTCAGGGCTTTGGGCTTGCAAAGCAGGCGCTCTCCTGCTTGAGGCACTCTTCCAGTCCATTTTGCTCTGGTTATTTTGGAGATGGGGGTCTCCTGAATCTTGATCCTCCTGATCTCAGCCTCCCAAGTAGCTAGGATTACAGGTGGCCACCAGTGCCTGGCTATTTTCAGTTTCTTTATCTCTCTCTCTAGTTTGAACTTCCTCTTTTTTATTTTATTTTGGTTTTTTGTGGTGCTGAGGTTCAAACTCAGGGCCCACACCTTGAGCCACTCCACCAGCCCTTTTTTGTAATGGGTGTTTTTGAGATAGGGTCTCGCAGACTATTTGCCCAGTACTGACTTGGAACCATATTCCTCCTGATCTCTGCCTCCTGAGTAGCTAGGATTACAGGCATGAGCCACCAGTGCCAGGCTTAAACTTCCTCTTTTGGGGGAAGTTTCAGCAGCCTGCATGATGGCGGGAGAGAGATGTGCACCTCTAGGTTCCCAGGATCGGGAATTGGGGACCTCAGGGCTTCTGTGGCTGAGCTCAGGCACCCTCCTGGCCAGGTCCTCCCAGAGCTCCATGTGGCTCTTCAGCTGGGACCAGGACTGGTTCGGCCTGCAGAAGGGGCACATGCATAGATGGGAGGAAGTGAAGGATGTCAGTACATTCTTACACTCAGTGTCTTTGCTTTGCTTGGGTGAATGTGCACCTGGGAACCTTAGTCACGTGTGGGCTGATGCAGGGTTGCAAACAGGCCCAGAGGCAAAATTCAGTGCTTCCTCTGTGCTCATCAGCTTAGTCCACATGGGTGGGGGGGGGTGTTTAATGGAGAATTTTCTTGGAAAAAATGTGTTTCTTGTTATTTTGGACAGTTGGGTAATACCAGGTCCACCTTCCTTAGTTGTGGACTCTCTTTGGCACAGACCCCACTAGTCCCTACTGCCTCCCTCATGTGAAGGCTGTTGTCTGTTGCCATATACCCTTGTGCTTGAACTTGTGGTTTCTCTGTAGTCATGGTAAGAGGAAGGGGAGCTACTCATCTACACCATGAAAACATAAATTAGCCAAAGATACCCTTAAGTTTCAAGAAGAATATGAGAGGACATTTCTTTGCAGAATCTAAAAATGTTCCGTTGCGTCTGACCTGTAAACACGGTGTGCCTATGGGGAACCTTCTGACGTCCTGCCCGGCTGACCTGTGGACGTTGAATTTGATGTTGGATTGAAGTCTGTAGATGTACCCTGGGCACAGTGCATTCTGTTTCTGCATTAATTTATTCAGATCTTTTTGGCACACCCGCTCTATGCGGACACTGGACACTGGGGACACAGCGTCGGCCCCCAAGGCCTAGTGTTGTGATGGGGAGACAGCAGCCCAATGAAGATGGGATGGTGCCAACTGCGCTGTGTCCCCAGGGGCTCCGTCTGCAGGCTTAACCAAGGCAGTGCAGGTCTGGGGTGTGGTCAGTGGCGGAGCGCTTGCCTAGCTGGCGGGAGGCCCTGGACTCCCCCAGCACTGCAAAGAAGAGGAGGAGGAGTCATATGGTAGCTACTGACACAGTGTTTACTTTCTGGTAGGTGTCAGAAGTTATCTAGAATTGATGTAAAATGTGAGAGCGATGTGTGTAAGTTCTATGCACACGGTACTCTCTTTATGTAAGGGGCTTGAACACCCTCAGATTTTGCAGAAGTCCTGGAATCGGGATACAGAGGGAGGACTGTAACCAAACGGTGGCAAATGCCCTGTTCGAGAAGACGCCCCCTGGAGGGAGGCTGGGCGAGGCTATGCCAGCGCGTGTCCTCTGGTGGGAGGACCTAGTTCATTGGTTGGAGCTCCACGATCTGCAGGTGTGGGGGACGTGGGTAGAAGTGTGGATTCTGTCTGAGGGTCATAGATCAAGCTCTGAGCTGGGCGTAA